GTGAAAAAAAAAGAAAGATGACATCGGAGAGTGCAGAATCCATTAGCAGGCTCCGGACGAGAAGGGAGGCGCGCTTTAGCATCGACGCCCGATCTTTCATCCCGCTACGAGAGCTTTTGTACGTGCGCGAATGAATGAGCGACCGGCTCCCATTCTTCCCTCCATCCTCCACGTCGCTGTCTAAATCCACCGGAACCGGATTTCCACGCGAGACACGTGTCAGGAAAATCGCGCGTCGAATCTTCGAGGAATTTTGCTAGATTTCCAAATTTTCAGTTTTAGCTTTGGTTCTCGGTCGCCAGTTCTTAAGAAAATGTATGCATTTCGAAAGAGAGAGGAGAGAGAAGAAATTATCTAATTATATATCTATTAATTTATGCCTGTTATATCTGTCATAAAAGATTTATTTATCATCTGTCATACAAGATTTGTTTATCATCTTTATACGAGTTAATTACGTATCATTTCTCAAGTACCGAGTATGCAATTTAGATGCAATCACTGGCAATTATACGCAACATGGTTCATCTCGTAATAACGTGCGTAATATTATTATATATCACGATAGTTAAGGTGCAATTCGCTTGTAGATTTACGTCCTTTAACGTAAAATGTGCAGAGCGCTCACTCCAAGATATATAATTCCTTCCCTCTTCACTTTCTCTCCTTCCGTTAACTCTTGCCCTTTCCTATTACTTAGGTTGAGTACTCATTGTCAGTGTACATTTCCTGTGTTCTCGCTCGAATCGACATCTTCGACAACGTTTTGCTTAAGATCGCACTGGGAATAGGAATAATTCTTTTCATGAATTCCGCTGAATATAGCAAGAATTCATGAAAAAGATATGACAGAGTAAGCTTAAATAAAATGAGTTTAGATGAAAAAATATGTGTAAGGAAATATTAGTGACGGATCCAATTTTGACATCGATCAATGTTATTTTCTAAATTTGAAAGTAAATTAAAAATTCATTTCTAAATTATTTCTAAATTAAAAAAATGATTTCTGAAAAAATCTATGAAAACAATTATTTCTGGAATAATAATTTCACTCTTTGAGCTTTATTTATTTAGCAGATTATTATTCCTTATTCCGTACAGAGTAAAGAATAATAATGCTAAATAAATAAAGCACAAAGGGAGTATACGAGAATCATTTTTTACATCACCAATGTTCTCATAACAATGCACTTTGAGCTTTATGTTTGCAATAAAAATATATTAAAAAATATATTAAAGCAAATTAATTTGCAAACTCTCATTTTTCTAGCCTTATTTAGAATGATGAGAAAAGACGTACAAACTTTTTTATATTTGTTGAATATTTTTACTCTTTAATAATCATATCGGACAAAAAAACCTCTCCCCCACTCCTGTACACTTTGAAGATGCCAAAAATAACAATGCAATATAAGGATTAAATAATGATTAGAATAACATATTAATTATTGCGTGTTATTTTAATTATTTAAATCAGAATTTTTCAGAATTTCTCAATATTTCTTTTTTTTCGGAGATAAAAGAATTTAGATAAAAAATTTCTCAATACTTCATCCCATTCCTTTTACCTAATTCCTCACGTATCTCGATTTTTCTCCTACATTCCGCTTTGAAACTACCTTTGCATTATCCTCTCTCGCGAATCTATCCTTTCTCTCTGATAGAAAGACAGGACGAAACGAAAGTGACAAAAGGGAAAAAATACACCAGCGAACGAAGTACATACATCGGCCGAACGAACAAGCGGAAATCGGTTTGGTATTGGTATGCTGCCAATACGCGGGCAACGGTGAGGGTGAGGTGAGCTGGGGAGGGGGAGGCGGCGATTGGTCGTCGCTCACAAAGTGGATCAGCCGCATGCATAAAGCTGGGGGAAAAAATCGGGATGAAACGCTACGCTCGCGCTACCATCCGTCCGGTAAATATTAGCCCGTCCGGATCTACCCGTACGGGACACTTTTTCTTCGCTGTCTCAGCGCGTTCCCGTTCTCATAAACAAAGTAATGACGCCGCCCCGCCGACGCGAAACCCAATTCCCGGATTTCGGCGTTAGCTAGCCGCCGACAGTGGTCGCAGCCTGTATGCACACGCGCATTCACACACACACACACACACACACACACACACACACGCATACATATGCAAATATTCGCACACGTATCCGCGATCAACGCGTCGTCGTACGTATTACGAACACATTCGCAGGCGGCGCGCGCGGTAAAAGCCACCTCGACATGTAAATCACGTCGACGACGTCGACGACGACGATGGCGACGACGAGGATTCTGCTCGTCCCCCTAAATCCCCGTCGAGCAGGTTCGCGTGCATCTCTGCATCACGACAGTATCGGCTATCAACTTCTAAACAACAATGCCTAGATCGCAAATGCAAACTCTCTCTCTCTCTCTCTCTCTCTCTCTCTCTCTCTCTCTCTCTCTCTCTCTTTCTCTCTCTCGCTCTCGCTCTGAACTTCGTCCCATGTAGTCGCTTCTTATTTATTTTTTGTCTTCGACTTCTAACTTGATATCCTGGTTACTACCTGGTTCATCCTTGCGTCCCTTCGATTCTTCTTCTTTTTTCCTCGCATCCTGATTGGAGAGTATTCTGGTATCTATTACCCCAGGTTGTTGTCCTTGTCCCTAACTTCGTTCTGGAGTTCTCCTTTTTCGAATCCCTATCTTGATCCTGCTTCGTCGACCTTGTTAGCTTCGCTCGTTTATGCATTATTCTTCGACTTCGGCTTCGATCTTGATCCTGCTATCCTCGGTCCTTTGCGTCCTTCGAACTGAGAGAAGTTCCTCACTTCGTGTTTTTCTGTCTCCCGATATTTATTATCACGCTACACCGTTCTTGCTCTCTTTACCGCAGTCCTTTTTTGTACAATCCTCGCTCCTTTTACCTTCCCCATCTTTCTCGATATTTATTCGATATCTCATCACAACGTTCTTACTACTTTGTTTCTTTCTCATCCACACACACGTACATACGCAAAGTAGTACATCCTTCCGCGTGTATCATCCTTCTTCATTCACTCTTTATCTTAATCCTACCCTGTCGTCCTTGTTCTTCTCCTCCTTTGAAGGAAACGACTACTCGACTTCTCGCCTTTGTTTCTCACTCCTGTCATTCTCGATATTTATTATCTATCTGCATCATCCTTACTATTTCAAGTTTTCTTTCCTTTCACCATGCTATCCTCGGCCTCTTCGTTTTTTCACTATCCTTTTACTTTTCTCTTTGACTTAAATTCAATAATATCTACTATAATTTTATCTAATTTTCTATGTTTCATATTCTTCTCGTACAAAATATCTTTTTTGCAACAGTTTTGATTATTATAAATATACACCATATTGTTTAAGTGATACGCATCATGGATAGTTATCAATTACTCGTTCCTATTCCACTACACGAATTCGCGCTTCATCGCTCGTCATCTGCAATTTCTTGTCGGGATCTTTCTGAAAACTGTGTTACCAAAGTTTCTCGCGCTTTTGTGAGAAGAGTTACTCTCGCAGAAATCGACGTGATTTTTGTAACAACCTAATATAACGATGCGACGTTACGTCATCTTCACCTAACTCCTTACTTTCTTTCCGAACGATCGCTCCTTATCTCGCTCGTGTCGCCCTCCTTCGTCCTTCCTATCGCCGATCCACGATCTTTTCTCTTCGCCCTTTAACCAATCTGCAAAACTGTCGCTTCCGGTCGCCCCCGTCGTCGACCATTCCAACAAACGTCGAAAGATCGCGTCGGGAGAGAAGGATTTTGATCTCGCTGGCTGCCGCGGCCGAAGGAAAACTTTTCAATATCAGGAATGAAAAAGTTGGCTGCCACGGTCGACTTCTTCGGGGTCGGATTGTTCGTCGCGAAGCTGGACCAATTTAGGGCAATGGATCAAGCGCGTGGAAAATAGCAGAAGCGACCCTTTAGCAGTCGAATAGTCTCGGAAGTTTTCGTCTTTCGGGAGATCGCGTTGAAACAGCCTCTGCTGACTGAGTTCAGTTGCGAGTGCATTAATCGAGCGCACGTTATCGAATATCTTTTTGCTAAACGCGTCAATTATATCTAAGATTCTACCTAATTAAAAAAAGATCCCTATACTTTAGAATGTTGCATTTAAGAACAGATTGACGAAAGAGTCAAATTGAGAAAATTAAAGTTGAAATATGTATATTTGTAGCATATTTTTAACATGAAAAGAGAAAATATTTTAAACATCAACTGTGTTTATTTTCCTGTCGAGATTCCTTCTCTCTATTATATTATTAATATTCAATTCACTTTGTTATTTGAGGTGTTCTGTTTAATTATGAAAAAATGCTGATCTGTAGATAGATATTAGTGCAAAATTAAATATCATTTTTCATAATTCCATTTGGTTGCATAATGATGCAGTGATAATGATCTATCTTTTTATTCGCTAATTATTAAACCAGTGTATATATATATATATATATATATATATATATATATATTTTATGATACGTCTGCACTCTGAAATATTATTGTCTGAAAGCTTTACTTTTTCCAAGACAATTGATTTGACAGTAATTTGAAAATTATATATTTATTCAAAAGTTGCGCTCTTCTTTCGGTCGAAGATATTTATATCTAATTTTAAATCGCAGCTCATCTTTCAAAAGAAAAAAATATTCTTTGAGTATGTATGGATAAATTTGCTGGCAAAAAATCTACATTTCGACATTCAATACTTTTTTTTAGATATCTTATACTTAATAAATAAATAATATAATCATAAATACTTTTAAATATTAATATTCTAAAGAATTTTTTATAACAAATGTTATAGTTTGAATTGAATCAAATATTTATATATAATTTTTACTTCCATTTAATCACTTATAACAAAATATAAATATAATAATAATATTTCAGACGGCAAACAATCACTTGTATAATTTATATTTCGCGGAAAAATTCCCCGACTTTTGCAAAAAATGTTTCGATAACGACATGGTTCGTTTTCTCTGTTGCAGATGTTCGGCATGCCGAGGACGAAAGGGTGAATCGACGATTTGTGATAAGATATAGACATAATGATACCAGATCACGACGAAATACGTACTTCAAAAATGCCAATTTACGCTAGTGCAATTGTGGTGCAAGAAACTAAAACGCTGCGTGCGCGATCAACGTCGGCGAGGGCTTCATCATCGCTTCGACTTCTTCCACAGCGAGCTGCTACTCAAAATAAATCGAAGACGATTTATTTTGCTGGCGACAACTTGCTCTCGCGAATTATGAGCTCTCGCGAATTTGCAAATATTTTCACAATAGATTATTCGACTAGATCTGATACCAAAAACTTACTTGTGCTTACTTTTGTTGCGAAAATTATCTCGCAACGATATAATTAATATAACTTTTAAATTTTCCGGAGACAGCAACTTTTTTTTCTTAAGAAACCCAACGTTAAAGATCAAAAGATTATGTTCATTTTTAATTGATAAGTTATGGGATGTGGATCCGAAGTTATTTTGTTTTTTCATAATTTATTTTAACATGAAATATTTGTAAATTTTTTTGCAATACACAACCCGGATTTTTGAAGGATTAATTCATATTTGAATATTATTCATCATTAATTGTTCTGTGAATGAGATTGTCATGCTTAACAACAAGACATCCAAATAACGTGTTGCTCAAAGAAATTCTGCCGATCCATTTCGATGATATTACAACTGCAATTTAGTTGTTAACGACAACTGTACAAATGCAAAAGCATTACGGACCATCGAAGAGGGATCTTCAGAGCCGTAACTTCGCGTGCATCTCGATTCACGAAGCGTCTCCAACCTTTAAAAAATAATCGAGGGCTCGAACCGCCAAGACATCAAACCGCCAAAAAAAAAAAAAAACGAATAATTTAAGCGCGCGCTTGGAGCTTCGGTAGATTAAAATTTGCTGGTAAAAGAAAAAAATGGGCGCCATCGGGTTTAAGTTCTTCTCCGCGTGATTTCTCTTTTCATGCGATTTCCTCAAGGACCTCCCCTCAAGGAGTCTTTTCGATCCCGCGATCGGGCGGCATCCAAGTCAATTTTTAAAGTGTAAGACGCGTCGGTCTCTGGGTTTAACTTAGATTTTAACGCGGCGTCTCGCGATCCCGGGGCACGCCGTGCAGTTGCTATAATCGAATAATTGCGTACGTATATATATATACATAAATATATATATGATATATATATATATATATATATATTATTTGTAAGGACACGGCGGTGTGAAGTGCGAGTGGAGGGCAAGGCGGAAAAGGGACGATGAAGAGCTTAAGGCTCGCCGACGTACAAGGCCGTGCGTACAACGATCTCTGTTGTCTGTAAAAGTAAAACCTCATAACGCTCTAAGGTGCACGCTATCGTTGCACACAATGCGCCCTTTTTCAATTCGGTACCACATGCGCTATTATTACTACATTTACTTGTCTCGTCGCTCTTAAACGTCGGTTGTTTGTTCCAAATAAAAGCGCGAATTTGGCGAAAGCCGTGCCTCTTTTTGTTTCTTTTCTTTTTCAATGCGAGATCTGTCTCGGTAGATCGTTTCTTTTGCTCCAAATTTACCTGTCTACCTCCGAGACTTTGTTTTACCTCGAATGTGCACTGATTTATTTACGATTAGAAGCAGTCAGGTTTATTAAGCGGGATGGCAAGAATTTTATATTTTTGTGTTTACGAGGGCGAGGGGAGTTTAAAGGAAGGATCGTGCGAGCTCGATGCTTTATTAGAGGGATTTGAAATTTTGAAGCTGCGCTTCGAAAAGGTAAACAAAAAGCTCTAATCGCGCGTGCACTCCTGAAAGGACGCATTGTGTGTGCAAAGAAATATAAATATATTACATATATATATATATAGATATATATATAAATAAATAAATATAAAAGAAAGATATACATTATATTATTGTACATGTAATTAAGGTAACACGAAGGTGAATATGAGAAAAAACAGTCGCTAGCAGCATTATATATATAAATATATATATAAATATATATATATATATATATATATGATATTAAATATAGAAAAAATATGGAATATACTCTATACAGTAAATATTGTACGTTTGCTAGTGTTACACGTTATACATATATATAGTACGTACACACACGATATATATGTATATACATATATATATATATTATATATTATATATAATATATTTAGCTTATATTTTTAGGTTACGTTTAAGATAAGCATTAGGTACAATTATAATATGTAAGTAAACCGCTATTACCAGTAGATAATGTAAAAGTAAGTGTAAGTTTAGTCATCGATCAATGGACGAATCCGCGACACGATTCGCGGTACTTGAAATCTTGTGTATCGACTTTAGAAAAAAACGGAAAGCAGAGAAATGGAGGGAGAGAAAGAAAGAGAGAGAGAGAGAGAGAGAAAAGTACATTCAGCTGAGAGCTGTACGTTCACGACTCATTGGTGCTTTTCCCTAGGTAAATATATATTACTTTGTATCTTTCTCGTCGGCGGAATAATAATCGTTAATCGATGTCGCTGCTAAGTAAATGGGCCGAGAGCGTCGGAATTCGTCGTCGTGATAAAAATCGCGAGTCGCCGCAAACGTTTTTCGAGATTTTCCTCTCTCGCCGGGGAGAAAATTCCCAGCTGACGCTTTCAGCGTTCAATTAAAAATAGCCATCGGAAAGATTTTTTTTCTCCTCAATCTCTATTCGAATTATTAATAAGGTTTAATTTTAATTCGAATAATATTGATAAAATTTAATATATATATAAATATATATATATATATATGAAGAGAAAAATAGTTAAGCTCTTTCGCGTATTCGCGAATATTGATCGAGAGAAAACATTAAGCGCGACCCGCGAAGTACATCCGAAAAGTTCTAGACCTGGATGTACAAATGCTTATTTTTGCTATCTTAGAGCGACCGAGGACTCTAGAGCTCGTGTTTACAAAATGTTTGTGATGAATCGAAAAGATTAGTATATATATTGCGTGATATTCGATCGCGATGTCGCATCGTCGATTATTTAACCTAGTGATGATCGCACGAACGGAAACTTTTTGGAGTCATCCCGCGAATTTGGATGACGAGTCAAAACCGCGGAATCATCTTTCTGCGATCGATAGAGCTCGATAGCGACGTTCTCGGGTCTCGGACCGGTGTTATAGGAGAAACTAGAGCGAGAATACACGTCGCGGGTCAAAGTCTGTCTCGCAAGATCGAAGCGGATCGAAGAGAGATTAGACGAATTTGTTAAATATATTAATATTCGTACTGCTATTGTCCCAACCTAACGAAGCGACAGTCCACGGGGAAATGATACTCTGTATAGCATCTGGTTATCTGGATATTATCTTAGATTCTTCCCGGGTGTCCTAGCGGATTTCTCCCGAAATCGAGTAATTTGCGAGGCGTATGCTCTAGGTGCTTAAGACGAACAAGTCGACCGAGAGTCGACTTTTAGCAACGGTAAATTCGAGCTTACAGGTGACTCTAGTTGATAGCGCGGGGAAGTTTTTACGATTTTTAGAGATAAATCGCGTTGTGCATTGACAAATTAGTTGGTGTCCTATAGCTACGAAAATAGTTTCTACGATAATTCGATTGAGATTTTAACTCTTAACCGCGTTTTTCCGCCGATTCCTTTCATTCGCAACACACTACGCAATGATGTAAATTACTTAGCACGATAGATTATTAAACAAAAATTATCCGGGAAAATAGATCGTTGTCATTTTCTGCAGAAGAACGCGTGCATTTAAGAGCAAAATCCATCTGTCTAGATCCACTGTGCTTCGTACTTTAGATAAATTCGTCTGCTCTAAAATTGTTGACACTTTAAAACCGATCAAGGTATTAATATAAAAATGTAATCCTCGAGAACTTATTGAAATATACTGACAGAATAGTGTCGTTAAAAGTATAATCAATGTGAAGCATAGTGGATTCGAAAAAAAAAAAAAACACGGATATCAAAGTAAACACTTAATAGATTGTCGATCTTTTGCAAGATGCCCGATATTTGACATCGTGAGAAATTTTTCGGCGCATCTATTACGTGCGAACAGGACAGAATCGAAGTATCATAATTAACCGCAACAAGCGAAATGAGAGGTCAATTCTATCGACATAAATATGATTAAGTTTAGAGTACCTATGTGCGTACGTCGATACCTATAACGGATCCCGTTCGACTGATACTTACCGCCTATGCGATAAGCATGCACGCCGATCACCTGAACGACTAACAGTGGCCAATGATATATGAAATATAAAAAAGAGAATTACAGGATTTCATTTACAATTGCAATCTTGATTTAATTCTTTCACAAGTATAACGTCGTGCGAAAATGTCGCAGATTTTTCTATTTATTTCGAATAATTCGATAATTCTTCAAGTAATAATAGAATAAAGGAACGTGATATAATTTTAGATAATCTTAATTTAAAAGAAAACTATTAAACTATTAAACTATTAATTATTAAATCATTTATGTAATTTATATTTATTAGAATTAATTAATGATACTTCAAAATATATATTATTTCGTATCAATGTTAGTCGAGTTCAGACGCTTCGGCTATCCTTAAGAGTTTACCAGCGTTTTATTAAGGCGAACAGAAACATGAAATACGAGCTTTCCGTTTTGGTGCAAGTGTACGAAGTTATATTCGTAAGTGTTCATAACGTAATTACCGTAATTAGCACTTAGGGACGGAGCTGATTTACATACTAAACACACGTGTAACACTGGAGACAGGTGGTTTTTTTTTCACGATGTGAAACATGAAGCAAAGTAAATGACGGACAGTTTCAGGAGGAACATTTTGAATGATGAAAATGCACAATTATTGCGAAAAATTGGCATTATTGTAGACGCATGGCTAATAAGTTTAAAAAGTTTTCTAAAGAGAATGTGTTTTGAATTTTTCTTTCTATTTCCTAATAATGTTTTCGGGGATCCTTTCGATTTTTGTATAAGAAAAATCCTATTTTTCGTTAAGTTAAGTGAAAAAGGTTCTGTGCATGCATATATAAATATATATATATATATATATTTATTTTATATATATATATATATATATTTATTTATTTATGTTTATATTTATATGCTTGCAAATCAATGAATTTCTGTAAAGAGCGCGAAATCTAATGAAGTTTAAAAAATATGTATGCGCGCTGAAATCAAATAAATGATTTTTTTCTTCCGAAATCGACTCAATTATTGAAAAGGGAAACGCGCTACATTGCGATCACTGAATCGACGTTGAAAAAAAAAAAAAAAAAAAAAAAACGTCACTCTGTCACACGAGCGTGCTTGATTTTCGATCGAAATGGATTTTAAAACGTCATTAAAATGCATTAGTTCTGTATGTACCGAGCATGATTTCGTCACTGAAGACGAAAATGCGGAGAAGTGGGACTTTTTTTTAGAAAAAAATTACACTCGCGTCTCGCACGTACTTCGAAAATCAACGCACGAGGAATGAACTTTTTAGGCAAAATTTATTATAGCTCGTGTATCCGTCCACTGAATATAGAGTGCGTAAAAAGAAGTTTGCGACATTGTTACACATATACAACGTGGCTTTAAGCGACAATTTAGCGTGTGATAGTGTCGATGATACAATCCTGAAAAGAGTCAATCTTTTCGACGTAATCCGCAACGTTTTAATCCTAGCTAGCAAGTCTAGCTTCACAATTGTTTGCCGATATTCGTTAAATAGCTACGGTAATGTGTACAAATTTAGTGACTTTTTAACATGTATCATTCTAATTTTCTTTCTTCCGATCTATCGAAAAGTGCACGATAATAGTCTGATTTAATTTTTTCTAAGCACGACGTTTAAAAAAGAAAAATTGAAAAAATGTCTTTCCCT